TGTTGTTGTTGTTGTTGTTGTTGTTGTTGTTGTTGTTGTTGTTGTCCTTCTTCTTCTTCTTCTTCAAATTATTTACCTATTTTTTCCGTCGACAGCCTTTAAAAAAAAAAAGTTTTCCATTCCAGAATTTGGAACTGGCCGCTCCGATTCCTCCAAAACGTCCACAAAATGGCGGACGACGATGACTTACCAGGCAGTCAAAGAAATGGACGCTTATTGCCAGGATGTTTACAGTTTCCTAGGATACAACACCTTCGCCTCAGACAACGAACTCCGAAACTTGACGCTGCCCCAGAGATCACCCGATTATGACGCACGCCTGGTAGGGGTTAGAATTGGCCATCTGCTCAAAGATAGAGGGTAAAGTAAAGTTGTTCCCGCATCCGATCCGGACATTGGGGATTGCCTTGTTAGTGAGACAACTTCCTGGGCCTTCGGCATATTGTGGTAGGGTGGCCGTGGGGTAGTGTGGTTTATATTGTTTATGTGAATGTGCTGAACAACTCGATCTCTGAAGGTATTCTCCTCCCGTCCCTCCATGACAAACAGAATTCCAATACAGCAGCAAAGAACAAAATGCATACATTTTTGTAAAAGTATGTCGAAGATCTCTGTCCCTTTTAAACGTGGGATTGAACCGAAGGGTACGGGCTCCAAGGTTACTGGATTAACGGCACTTGTAACACAATAAGGGCATATAATATAGTGCCGAAGATTAGAGGTGTTACAAGAGAGTAACAAACATAAAAAAGTAGGAGGAGAGATAAGGACGATAGATGTTTGATAGGAAAGGAGAAGCAAACCACACCAGAGATTCCACCAAACACCCGTCAGAAGATATATTATTATACCATTCAGGTTGCGGCAGGAATACACGTGTAGTTAGAAAAGATAAAAAGATAGAGTAGTGAACGAGAGTCTTGAGTAGTTTTTGCTGCGCAGGTGTAAATACAAAAACTGTTTTCTAAAACGGCTCAACGTTTTACCTCAAAGGTTTCGTCATTAGCAATTGTTGAAGGTTCATCATCATCATCATCATCATCATCATCATCATCATCATCATCATCATCATCATCATCATCATCATCATCATCATCATCATCATCATCAATC